TTTTTTTTTTCTGGAGTCGAATCCCGAAACTTTTCTCATCGGCTGCCTCCGGCGGGCTTTCGCAGAAAGGGGCCAAGTTTTTGGCGTCGTCGCGCTGCGCAGCCAAGAAGAGACGCGCCTTCTTTTCCCCCTCTTTTCTTTGCACCCGCGAACGCGTGCTGCTGGTGGCTGCTGATGCTCGATTTTGCCTCCACATCCCCCTGGCAGTCGCCGTCGCTGCAGTCTCATAGGCGGGCCAGCCAGGCGCGGCGTACTGCAGGTCCATCGGCAGATGGGCACAGCGCGAGAAGGAGACGGACCCTGGCGAGGCCACAACCATGCCCAGCAAGCGTGGGGGCGGAAAAGGCGAGAACAACACGCACGCACGAACTGCACTCTGCACAGACCCCTCGTCGGTCGGCACCTCCGTCTCCCACCTCCATCCTGGCTAGATCCTTCGAACCACCACCATACTCCCACGATAGAGCCGAGCCGAGGGTGATTGGGGTCTGACTCGCCATGGACGCCGCTCTGCAGAAGGCGCTGCTCGACCGCGTCTACGACAAGCGCAAGGCCGCCACGCTCGACCTCGAACGCCAGGTGCGCGATTGCCTGGCGCGCGGCGACCGAGCCCGCGTCAACCTCATCGTTCAGCAGCTCTGCTCCTTCCTCAGCGCATCGCCGCAGAACGTCAACGCGCGCAATGGCGGGCTCATCGGTCTGGCTGGTATCGCCATCGCCCTCGGCGTAGAGATCGCCCCCTTCCTAGAACAGATCGCCAAGCCCGTCCTGGCGTGCTTCAACGACCCGGACAGCAAGATCCGCTACTTTGCCTGCGAGAGCTTCTACAACATCGCCAAAGTATGCAAGGGCGAGATCCTCGTCTACTTTAACGAGACCTTCGACGCGCTCTCCAAGCTCGCTGCCGATTCCGAGCTGAGCGTCAAGAACGGCGCCGAGCTCCTCGACCGTCTGCTCAAGGACATTGTCTCCGAAGCTGCGCCTCACTACGTCTCCCAGTTCCAAGACATCTCGCTCATCCGCGCACACCAGGATGCCCACGACGGCTTCAGCGGCGGCGCTGCCGAGCTCGACGTCGCCCGCGAAAAGGCGCACCAGCTCGATCAGCAGGGCACCGCCAACAACAAGGTCTTCTCCCTCGCACGCTTCATCCCGCTCCTCGCAGAGCGCATGTACGTCATCAGCCCCTTTACGCGCAACTACCTCGTCAGCTGGATCACCGTGCTTGGATCCGTGCCAGAGCTCGAGCTCGTCAGCTACCTCCCCTCCTTCCTCGACGGCCTGCTCAAGTACCTCAGCGACCCCAACACCGACGTGCGCGTCGCCACCGCCAATGTGCTCGCCGACTTTTTGCGCGAGATCCGCCACGCCGCCGAGCTCTCCGCCCGGCGCCAGGCCTTCGAACAGCACCGCGCAGAACGACAGGAACACAGGAAGCGCAAGGGCAAACAACGTGGACCCGCCGGCGCCGCAGATCCGGTCACGCTCAAAGCTGACACGGCAGACGAGCCGACTGCTTCCGCGGCGAGCGAGGCGCAGTCCAGAAGTGCTAGCCCCAGCAAGTCGTTCCGCAGCCCAGCACCCAGCCAGACCAAGCCAAGGTCCGACGGCGCCACTTCGCCCCTGCCACCACCACAGCGAGACGGACTGCCAGCGGACCACGACTCGGCCTTGGCCACTTCGCCAGCACCCACTCAGAGCCATGACAATGACGCTGCTTCCGGCGCTGAAGACGAAGAAGACGAGGAAGACGACGATGAGGACGACGAGGACATTTGGGTCGAGGGTACCGAGGTCCGCATCGACTATGCCGCCATCGTCGAGATCCTCATCAACCACATCGGCTTCCCGGATGAAGAGATCCAGGCGACCACGCTGCAGTGGATCGCCGAGCTGCTGCTCGTCGTCAAGGACGTCGTCGTACCGTTCACACCCCGCCTCATCTCGGCCATCCTTCCCAATCTCGCCCATCACAGTCCCGCCATCGCAAGCGCAGCACATGCCACCAACGTCAATCTCTACAGGGTGGTGCAGGACATTCCGGCACCCACAACGCCGCCAAGCACGCGCGCACAAACGACTCTGCCGGCCACTGCACCGGGCCACCGTTCGACCGGCTCGGTCTCCTCGTCGAGGGACAGAGCCAGCGCAGGGAGCCCGACGCAGCATGGCAACCTCAGCCGACACGCCTCCATCTCCCGCCCCGCAGCATCGTCGTCATCCGGACCACTCTCCCCAAGGGTCAGGGCGGGCACAATCAGTGGCGAGCCTACGGCTGGGATCGCCGGGCTGAGTCTGTCTGACGACGCGGCAGGCACGGATCGCACCTCATCGCCCAACGCCGCTGCGGATGGCGGCGCGGTGGAATCCGATCCGTTTGACTACCAGACGACCGTGAATGCACTCACACTGCAGCTGCTGGACGAGCACGAGGAGACGCGTGTGACTGCGCTCGAGTGGCTGCTCATGCTGCACAGTAAGAGCCCGCGCAAGATCCTCTCCATGGACGACGGCACGTTCCCGGCGCTGCTCAAGACGCTCTCGGATCCGTCGGACGAGGTGATCCGGTGCGACCTGCGGCTGCTGGCGCAGATCAGCTCGGCGTCCGAGGACTCGTACTTCCACGCGTTCATGGCCAACCTGCTGAGCCTGTTCAGCACGGACCGGCGGCTGCTCGAGACGCGCGGCTCGCTCATCATCCGGCAGCTGTGTGCGTCGCTGCATACCGAGCGCATCTTCCGCACGCTCGCCGAGATCCTCGAGAAGGACGAGGACCTGGAGTTTGCGAGTATCATGGTGCAGAACCTCGCCATCATCCTCATCACGTCGCCCGAGCTGGCGGACTTTCGGCGCAAGCTGCGCAACCTCGACTCACGCGAGGGCCAGCAGCTGTTCGCGTCGATCTACCGGTGCTGGTGCCACAATGCGGTGGCGGCGTTCAGCCTGTGTCTGCTGGCGCAGGCGTACGAGCACGCGAGCAACCTGCTCACCATCTTTGCCGAGCTCGAGATCACGGTGGCGCTGCTCATCCAGATCGACAAGCTGGTGCAGCTGCTCGAGTCGCCCATCTTTACGGCGCTCCGGCTGCAGCTGCTCGAGCCGGAGCGCTATCCGTACCTGTTCAAGTGTCTGTACGGCGTGCTGATGCTGCTGCCGCAGAGTTCGGCGTTTGTGACGCTGCGCAATCGGCTGAATGCGGTGAACGGGCTGGGGTTCCTGCACTCGGTGCCGCGCTCGAGCTATGCGAGCAGGACGAGCTCCAAGAGCGTCTCGACGGGCTCGGGTGGGGCGGGTGCGGGTGGAGGCGCCGGGGGTGCGGGCGCCAGCGAGATCAAGTGGAGCGATCTGCTGCACCACTTCCGCGTGGTGCAGAACAAGCACGAGCGCGCGCGCCGCCAGACGGCGTTGGGCGCGACCATGGCGGCGGGCGCCACGCCGGGAGGGCCCGACTATGCTGCACCGCGCATCGGGTCAGCGACTGCTGCGACAGCGTCTGCAGCGCCAGGACGCCGGCGCGTCAGTCAGGCGGCCACACCCACCGCCGCGGCTGGGTCGCTCACGCCGTCCGGATCAGCGGGCCGCTTTGGGCTCGGGCTGAGCTCGGGCGGCACCAACGCGCGTGCTCCCGCCACGGCGGGTGCTGGGACGAGCAGTTTCTTCGGCATCCACCTCCCCTCGACCGGCGCGGCCGCAGGATCGAATGCCAATGCGGCGGGAGGCTCCACGGCGCGGTCCTCAAGCCCGTCGACGGTGCGCCGACACGCGCTCGGCTCCAACCCGGCGTCACGAAGCGCCAGCAAAGGCTCGTCGCTGCGTTGAACATTGCAAGCCCTCGACGCCCTCGCCACGGTGTGTGCATGAGGGATCAGTGTGTGGGGATGAGGCTGGTGTTTCTGTTGGTACTGAGAATTGCACGGGAAAAAAGAGAGGGTTTGGTATTATACAATCTTGTCTGCCAGTTCTGGCAGCTGGTCACCGGGAACAAAGTGGCGCTCCACACCGTCCTCTGAGATGTCTACGAGGCGAATGGTTCCTCCGGACGAGCCGTCTCTCCTCATTGCGAGTGCGAGCGCTGTGCCAACGAATCGGACGTGTCAGTCTCATCTGTATCGTGAATCGCGGTGTGGCGGGGGGGATGAGCTTACCGTTCTTTACGAATTCAAGAGTCTTTTCCCTTCCCCAGCCAGCCTTCCAGGTTGCATCGCAGTAGCCGTAGATGTAGGTGCTTCCGGAACCGCCGATGGCCCAGGGCTGTTGGAAGACGCCTCCTCCGAGCGGGATGTTGAAGACGCTGCCGCCATTCTGCTTGTCCCAGCCTGCGACGATGATGCCTGCTGAGAGACGGTCCTTGTTCCCATACACGATCTCCTGGAAGAGGTTGGCGGCGACCTTGGTTTCGACTGGGTTGCCCGACTGGACGGCGTACATGTCGAGGTAGTAGGTGACAATGTCGGCGATTGCCTGGGTGTCGGCGGCCGAGCCGGAGCGACAGCAGTAGATGCGGTCGGACAGATGCGTGAGCTTGTCCGTGACGCGGTTGGCG